TATAACCAGTTTTTTACAATAAAGCCTCGAATTTCGGAAAAAAAACGGCGGAACCAAAGTTGTACACCTAATATATATATATATATATATTACCTCAGAAAGAATTCAAAAAATTAATTTATTATAAATATAAAAATCATGTAAAGGATCGTTGAAAAATATTATTTGCATATCATATTTATTGCACGTTCGATTAATCATGAAGCACACAGCCTCAAAATTTATTTTATTTTTCTAGGATTGCGAATTATTCACGACGGTGGTTGTCGCGTGGAATTTGTTCATAAGCTTTATGGTAGAGCGGTTTGTGGCGTCGCGAAAGCGAGATACGAATGGAATCCAGTCTGCGCGTCCGACGGAATCACTTATCCAAATCCTTTCGTCTTTCTCTGCTATCGCCCAAGTATGTAATAATATATTCTTATATGTAATATATTCTTATATAAGATATCAATAATTTTACACATTTTATCGAAGGATACTTTCAGGAATTCCGAATCGATTTCTCCAAACAATTGTAATGTTAAAATATTGATAAAATTTTATTTTATACGATGGTAAATTGTCGTTAATGTAAGAGCATAATACATCTTTATATAACAAAAATTTAATTTTATTTCATTTAAAAAAATGAATTTATTTTAAGATAACTTTAATTTATTATTTAATGCAAAAAATACAGATATCATTTATGCAAAAACTAATCATTTATACACCGTATGGCTCGCTTCTTTATTTAATATTAGCCCAAAGTTTGCGAATATAGCGAATGTAGACTTTTTAATTTAGAGAGTGTGCGAATGTATATAGCTTACTTTTTACCCCAGGAAGTTCTGCGAATGTAGCTTATATTTTTAAATTTAGATCTGAATGTAATTTTCAACGGAGAGTGCGACACACACAGTTACAAATCTTGCATAGAGGCACATACAAATACGACGGTCTTGCCAAACGGCGAATACGCGAATGACGCCTTCACTGTGGACGACGAGGTTTGCGGGAACGACGGTAGCACGTATCAGAGTATACATCACTTGCAATGCCATACTCGTCTCGATAAATGTGAGTTTTGCGTCGCAAGAGAGATGGAAAGAGAAAGACTCGACGCCGAAGAGATAGCTATTTCAAAGTGCATAGAAGTATATGGTCCAATTATTAAACACATCGCTGACAAGCATCTTTCGAAATTCAGTTATTTTCATAAAGCTCCATTTATTCAGTAAGCTTTGAAAAAAAAAAGATAAAAAATCTGCGCAGAAAATTTAAATTTCAGTAAAATTTACATGTGCAGAAATAGACCTTTAAAATTTTTATATATCAAAATTTAAAACATTACTTTATTTCGAAATCTACGTTTTCTGTTTTTATATGGATTTTATACAAATTATTATACGACAATAATGATACATAATAAAAATATTTTGTGTTTGTGTTTATAAAATCGGTTCTTATTAACATTTTTATATTTAATTTTTTAACATATTTTTAACATATTTGAATGTTAATTTAATACAATGTGACTATACATATTATTTGAATATTTTGTATTAAATATTGATATTTAATAGTGTTTCTTAGTGTTAAAGTAATATAATTTATGAACAAGTAAATAAATAACATAAAAATAATGTAGTTTCAAAACGAAAATTTTAAGATTAATAAATAAAAGATAAATATTATTTTAAGATATTATAAATATTAATTTTACTAAAGAAATGTGTTTCTACAATTTGATTCCAAATTATATCAAAGCGTTACATTTTTTAATTAATTTTTACATTTTTAATATGTGTATTATATTTTAAAATATATTCATGTTACATTAAATAAAAAAATTAAATGGATCGTTTAGATTCTGACACTTCACATTCTAAACTTTAGAATGAACAAAATGTCAATTAAGAGAAATAACATAAATAATTATAATTGTTTATACACCTAAAATATATCGAAAACACAAATTTTGCAACTGTTTATTAACATTTTATCTCGTAGATGTATTTTTGAAGCATAATGGATCATGTTCCGGACCAGATGACCATCCTTGTGGTTCGGTACCAGAAGAAGAACATAGGCAACCAGTATGTGGCACCGACGGTAAATCCTATGTGAGTCCAGAGGCCCTTTGGTGCGCTAAATTACGCTCTCCGAAAAGAGGTGAGATTTGTAAACCATATTTATAATAAATTCCGGACGAACTCTTCCCTTCATAATGCTCGCGTTCACGCTTTTTCGCAGGCATTTTCGCTTGAAATTCTCTTCGCTCATTAACTTGCTTATGTCGCGTAAAATTATGTAGACACGCACTCCGCATAATTTCGAGATTTGTGTCTACGTGATACACAGACGTGGATTTTTGACATAACAGGAAAAATATAATTTTACAATAATTTTCGAGCCTGTCTGTTGTACACTTCGTTATGCGCGTCAAACGGAAGAAGCAATCTCGCAAGATAAATTCTATTAAGTTGTACGTGAAATTACGTCGCAGGACAAATCGCGATATTCATATGTGACGTTGACAATGTTGATTGTTTCGATTAAGATCTTATACAAACTCGTGTTAAAACACGATATAGAGAATACAAGAGATACCGTTTGTTTTCGAGACAAAAGCATTTCTCAATCAATAATCAATCGCACATTCAAAGCTGATTAATGAGACGTTCTCGTTTTTACAGATATTGCTTACAAGCACGACGGTCCATGCTAATGAAGACATTGTCAGTAATTGCTATCATCAATTTTGAAAAATGTATCAAAAAAATTGACCGTGAAAAAAGCAGAAGTTCTTATATAGTTTATAAATATTTTATACAAAAATTTTCTGGATTTATAGCGTTATTTGTATCTTTCTCCAAGATATTACAACTGATATAAATAATAACAAAGTTTTTATAAAAAATATAAATTGTATAAGTGATTTTAAATTAAATATAAATGCAAGTAATATCAATAACTTCCTTTTAGCGCTCTGTATAGGAATAATGATATTTATTTGTTCAATTTATTTCTGTTATGAAGATATCAGATTTGATTGAAGCATAACTTAATGGTAAATGTGCGATACAAATTTTCTTAGCGAGTTAATTTTATATTATATTTTATATGTTAGGAAT